CATACATACATACATACAATACATGCATGCATACATACATACATACATACATACATACATACATACATACATACAGACATACATGCTTACACATACACATACATACATACATACATGCATAGATACCTCCGGCAGTAGTTTTTTCAAAGCTTGCATACATCCATACAGCACGCTACAATCCAATAGGCTGCAGTACAGCACGGTACAAATACAATACGTACAATACATACACACATGCATACATGCATGCACACGTGCACGCATATCACCATATGCAAACATGCATTTGTGCAGCTCCAGCTTTTCCTAGCTATGGCAACATGATCAATGTAGCTAGTGGGATCAGAACTCTCCTTTCGACCCTCGGCTCGAAATCGACTAGGATGCCTGATGTCCTTAAGAACGGGACCCATTCAGACTGTCATGGAGACCCGCAGAAGTGAAAGGAACCACACTTGCATGTACACGAAACCCTTCACATCGTCTTTAAGCACCTGTGTGTCACTGTGGCCGAACGAGCAAGTGTTGGTGCAATGGCGAAGAGTGGCAGAGTCCGGCCGCCAAGTCGATTCATCGCTTTTCTCTCCTTGCTTCTGCTGCTCGTGCTAGGAGTTCCTGTGGTATCTTCGGGCTCAGGGTTTCGGACTTGGCGCTTAAGGGCTGCAGTTTTGGATGTGAAGGTCCGTAAATGGCAGTTGCGCCCGTGGTGATGGCGGTAGTAATAGATACAAGCCGAGGAGTAGTAGTAGTAGTAGTAGTAGTAGTAGTAGTAGTAGCAGTAGTAGTAGTAGTAGTAGTAGTAGTTGTTGTTGTTGTGGTGGTAGTAGTAGTAGTAGTTATTATCACGTACTGCGCGTGTTCGCTGGTGAGCCATCTCCTAAATGTACTATCCCTGCTTGTCTTGAGCCCGCCGTGTGGGCTCCGAGTATTGGCGGTGAAAGAGACAGGAGGACACTAAACACGAGTTTTCAAATCCTATGACCCCTCGATCGCAGAGAAGTGCAAGTTCGGAACCCCTGCGTAGATTTTGTAGATGCCTGGTCTAGTGCCCCGAAATTCATAAAGCCGTCTGCCCCCAACCTTAAACCTTAAGCACATAGACATTTATCAAGCACCTTTCTGCCGAGTCTTTGCTGCTGGCGCTCTGCTGCCTCTTTGCAGCTCGCCCAGCTTCAGAGTGAACCTTTGCGGGCCCTGTTGTTAGGCAAAGTGTCGTATGAAACAGGGACACCGGCAAGGGGCCAAACTTGCTTATTGCAGTGGTTCAGCGATGCCAAAGTACATTATGGTAACATTATGGTGCAGTATATCACACTGTAAGCTGCGATGAATAGGACAATAGCCACGCACACCTACATAGCCTGTTGTGGGCTGCAGGCTGGGTGTTCTTATCATTGGCACCACCAACCATCGTCGGTATCATCGTCAAAATGAAGATCCTTGTTATGGACAGTCGCTATGGTTGGTTCTGGAAGGGTAGTTTCAGCTGTAAGGCACTGTAAGATACTGAGTTTTGCGGCTTCAAGAGGGCCTGTGTGCCATGTTGAGCCTCCCCGTCACAGGCAGACGAATGACTGGACCTTCGGTGTTTAGAAGGCTTCACAGGTTTTCAGTCCAAGCCACGATCATCTGTCTGTCTTTTCCACGGCCAGCATGCCCGCCGCCATAGGTTCTTCGCGCTTGTGCTAGGTCCTAAAGCCTGAGTGACCAGCCTTTGCGTCATGCTTGGGGTTAGGACAGGATGTCGTATCGCGGTCGTTGTAGTGGTGGTGTGGAGTAAGTGTCTGCGACCCTAAGCCCTGACAGGCTGGTCCGAGTGTGAGCATCAAAACCCCTAACGGCCCTAGAATGTTAAACCCAATGCAGCCCAAGCCATCAACCCTAAGCCGTTTTCCTGTGATTCCTCTAACGAAACCCCTGGCCACGGAGGCAAGAAAAAATCCCAATCCGAGCTTGGGACCTAAACCCTAAACCCAATCAATCCGAGCTCGGGAGGTCATGGGGCAGCTCTCTTGGAATATGGCAGCCTTCGTTGCCGGCCCGATGGTGTCCAGGCCAGGCGCCGGGGCGTAGACAACGAAAGCTGAGGACTGAGACCCAGGGTTTGGCTTCGGGCACAAACGGGTTGTGGAGTCCGGGGTGGGCGATTTAGGGAGGCACCGGGTGTAGAAGCAGTAATGTAAGGGCCGACTTTTTTTTTATATACTAGTTTTTTTTTTTTTTTTTT